ACAGTGAGATACACACACACACAGTGACACACACAGTGAGATACACAGTGACACACACACACAGACACACACACAGTGACACACACACAGTGAGATACACACACACACACAGTGACACACACAGTGACACACACAGTGAGATACACACACACACAGAGACACACACCGTGAGATACACACACACACACACACAGTGACACACACACACACAGACACACAGTGAGGTATACACACACACACAAAGTGACACACACACACAGTGAGATACACACACCGTGACACACACACACAGTGACACACACACACAAAGACACACACACAGTGAGATACACACACACACAAAGTGACACACACACACACGGTGAGGTATACACACACAGACACAGTGACACACACACACACACAGACACAGAGACACACACAGTGAGACACACACACACAGACACAGTGACACACACACACACAGAGATACACACACAGAGAGATACACACACACACAAACACACACACAGAGAGACACACACAGTGAGGTATACACACACAGACACAGTGACACACACACACACAGAGATACACACACACAGACACACACACAGACAGAGAGACACACACAGACAGAGAGACACACCGTGACACACACACACACAGACACACACAGTGAGATACACACACACACAGAGACACACACACAGTGAGATACACACACACACAAAGTGACACACACACACACACACGGTGAGGTATACACACACAGACACAGTGACACACACACACACACAGAGATACACACAGTGAGATACACACACACAGACAGAGAGACACACAGTGACACACACACACAGACACACACAGAGAGAAACACAGTGAAATACACACACACAGAGACACACACAGTGACACACACACACAGACAGAGAGACACACAGTGACACACACACAGACAGAGAGACACACACACACAGTGACACACACACACAGTGACACACACATACAGAGACACACACAGACAGAGAGACACACAGTGACACACACACACCGTGACACACAAAGTGACACACACACAGAGACACACACAGTGAGACACACACACAGTGAGACACACACACAGAGACACACACAGTGAGATACACACACACACAGACACACACAGACAGAGAAACACACAGTGAGATACAAACACACACAGAGACACACACAGACACACACACACAGTGACACACACAGACACACACACAGTGACACACAGTGAGATACACACACACACACAGAGACACACACAGTGAGATACACACACACACAGACACACACACACAGTGAGATACACAGTGACACACACACACAGAGACACACACAGTGAGACACACACACAGTGAGACACACACACAGAGACACACACAGTGAGATACACACACACACAGAGACACACACACAGACAGAGAGACACACAGTGACACACACAGTGAGATACACACACACACAGAGACACACACATACACAGTGACACACACAGTGACACACACAGTGACACACACAGTGACACACACACACACACACAGTGAGATACACACAGACACACACACACAGAGACACACACAGACACACACACACAGTGACACACACAGACACACGGTGAGGTATACACACACAGACACAGTGACACACACACCGTGACACACACACACAGTGAGATACACAGTGAGTGTCTGAGTGTCTGACTGAGTGACTGAGTGGGTGAGCGAGGTGGTGAGTGAGTGACTGAGTGGCTGACTGAGTGTCTGAGTGAGTGACTGAGTGGGTGAGCGAGGTGGTGAGTGAGTGACTGAGTGGCTGACTGAGTGTCTGAGTGAGTGGCTGAGTGGGTGAGCGAGGTGGTGAGTGAGTGACTGAGTGTCTGAGTGAGTGACTGAGTGTCTGAGTGAATGAGTGACTGAGTGAGTGAGTGGGTGAGCGAGGTGGTGAGTTATCCCCTCACCAGTCTGGCTTGACGTCTGTCACTGTACGGATGTAGTTCTTGGTGGTGAGTGACTGAGTGAGTGACTGAGTGAGTGACTGAGTGACTGACTGAGTGAGTGACTGAGTGAGCGAGTGACTGAGTGGGTGAGTGAGTGACTGAGTGCCTGACTGAGTGACTGAGTGGGTGAGTGGTTGAGTGACTGAGTGAGCGAGTGACTGAGTGAGTGAGTGACTGAGTGACTGTCTGACTGAGTGAGTGTCTGAGTGAGTGAGTGGCTGACTGAGTGAGTGAGTGACTGAGTGGGTGAGTGACTGAGTGAGTGACTGAGTGAGTGGGTGAGTATCTGACTGACTGACTGTCTGACTGAGTGACTGAGTGGCTGACTGAGTGAGTGAGTGACTGAGTGGGTGAGTGACTGAGTGAGTGAGTGGTTGAGTGAGTGAGTGGGTGAGTGTCTGACTGCCTGACTGTCTGACTGAGTGACTGAGTGGCTGACTGAGTGACTGAGTGAGTGACTGAGTGGGTGAGCGAGGTGGTGAGTGAGTGAGTGACTGAGTGAGTGAATGAGTGACTGATTGAGTGACTGTCTGAGTGAATGACTGACTGACTGAGTGACTGAGTGAGTGACTGAGTGTCTGAGTGAATGAGTGACTGAGTGAGTGAGTGGGTGAGCGAGGTGGTGAGTTATCCCCTCACCAGTCTGGCTTAACGTCTGTCACTGTACGGATGTAGTTCTTGGTGGTGAGTGAGTGACTGAGTAACTGAGTAACTGAGTGAATGACTGAGTGGGTGAGTGAGTGTCTGAGTGACTGACTGACTGAGTGAGTGACTGAGTGAATGAGTGACTGATTGAGTGACTGTCTGAGTGAGTGACTGAGTGAGTGTCTGAGTGTCTGACTGAGTGACTGAATGACTGAGTGTCTGAGTGTCTGACTGAGTGAGTGAGTGTCTGAGTGTCTGACTGAGTGAGTGAGTGTCTGAGTGTCTGACTGAGTGACTGAGTGTCTGAGTGTCTGAGTGAGTGAGTGGGTGAGCGAGGTGGTGAGTAGCCGGCTAACTCACCAGTCTGGCTTGACGTCTGTGACTGTACGGATGTAGTTCTTGGTGGTGACTGAGTGACTGAGTAACTGTGTGAATGACTGAGTGGGTGAGTGAGTGGGTGAGTGACTGACTGTCTGCCTGACTGAATGAGTGACTGAGTGTCTGACTGACTGAGTGTCTGACTGACTGACTGAGTGTCTGAGTGAGTGAGTGAGTGGGTGAGCGAGGTGGTGAGTGACTGAGTGAGTGGGTGAGCGAGGTGGTGAGTTATCCCCTCACCAGTCTGGCTTGACGTCTGTGACTGTACGGATGTAGTTCTTGGTGGTGAGTGACTGAGCGAGTGAGTGACTGAGTGACTGAGTGTCTGACTGAGTGAGTGTCTGACTGAGTGAGTGGCTGACTGAGTGAGTGAGTGACTGAGTGGGTGAGCGAGGTGGTGAGTGAGTGAGTGAGTGGGTGAGCGAGGTGGTGAGTAGCCGGCTAACTCACCAGTCTGGCTTGACGTCTGTGACTGTACGGATGTAGTTCTTGGTGGTGACTGAGTGACTGAGTAACTGAGTGAATGACTGAGTGGGTGAGTGAGTGGGTGAGTGACTGACTGTCTGCCTGACTGAATGAGTGACTGAGTGTCTGACTGACTGACTGAGTGTCTGAGTGAGTGACTGAGTGGGTGAGCGAGGTGGTGAGTGAGTGAGTGAGTGGGTGAGCGAGGTGGTGAGTTATCCCCTCACCAGTCTGGCTTGACGTCTGTGACTGTATGGATGTAGTTCTTGGTGGTGAGTGACTGAGTGAGTGTCTGAGTGAGTGACTGAGTAGGTGAGTGAGTGGGTGAGTGTCTGAGTGAGTGTCTGAATGAGTGTCTGAGTGAGTGAGTGGGTGAGCGAGGTGGTGAGTGAGTGAGTGAGTGGGTGAGCGAGGTGGTGAGTAGCCGGCTAACTCACCAGTCTGGCTTGACGTCTGTGACTGTACGGATGTAGTTCTTGGTGGTGACTGAGTGACTGAGTAACTGAGTGAATGACTGAGTGGGTGAGTGAGTGGGTGAGTGACTGACTGTCTGCCTGACTGAATGAGTGACTGAGTGTCTGACTGACTGAGTGTCTGACTGAGTGACTGACTGAGTGTCTGAGTGACTGAGTGAGTGGGTGAGCGAGGTGGTGAGTAGCCGGCTAACTCACCAGTCTGGCTTGACGTCTGTGACTGTACGGATGTAGTTCTTGGTGGTGACTGAGTGACTGAGTAACTGAGTGAATGACTGAGTGGGTGAGTGAGTGGGTGAGTGACTGACTGTCTGCCTGACTGAATGAGTGACTGAGTGTCTGACTGACTGAGTGTCTGACTGACTGACTGAGTGTCTGAGTGAGTGAGTGAGTGAGTGGGTGGGTGAGCGAGGTGGTGAGTGACTGAGTGAGTGGGTGAGCGAGGTGGTGAGTTAGCTCCTCACCAGTCTGGCTTGACGTCTGTGACTGTACGGATGTAGTTCTTGGTGGTGAGTGACTGAGTGAGTGAGTGACTGACTGAGCGAGTGAGTGACTGAGTGACTGACTGAATGAGTGTCTGAGTGAGTGAGTGGCTGACTGAGTGAGTGAGTGACTGAGTGGGTGAGTGACTGAGTGAGTGAGTGGTTGAGTGAGTGGGTGAGTGAGTGAGTGACTGAGTGAGTGGGTGAATGAGTGTCTGAGTGAATGAGTGTCTGAGTGAGTGAGTGAGTGGGTGAGCGAGGTGGTGAGTGAGTGAGTGAGTGGGTGAGCGAGGTGGTGAGTAGCCGGCTAACTCACCAGTCTGGCTTGACGTCTGTGACTGTACGGATGTAGTTCTTGGTGGTGAGTGACTGAGTGAGTGTCTGAGTGAATGACTGAGTAGGTGAGTGAGTGTCTGAGTGTCTGACTGAGTGAGTGTCTGAGTGAGTGTCTGAATGAGTGTCTGAGTGAGTGAGTGAGTGGGTGAGCGAGGTGGTGAGTGAGTGAGTGAGTGGGTGAGCGAGGTGGTGAGTAGCCGGCTAACTCACCAGTCTGGCTTGACGTCTGTGACTGTACGGATGTAGTTCTTGGTGGTGAGCACGAACTCGTTATAGAGGACCCACTCGGGCTTGTGGTCCAGGCACGTGGACGGGTGGAGCTGGACCACCTGGTTATCCTTCACTGTCAGGTAGTGTCCCGTTCGCTCCAGGTGAGCTACCTGCTCACCAGCACGCGCAGACGCACAGCTCACCAGCACGCTCACCAGCACGCTCACCAACACGCTCACCAGCACGCTCACCAGCACGCTCACCACAGACACACAGCTCACCAGCACGCTCACCAGCACGCTCACCAACACGCTCACCAGCACGCTCACCACAGACACGCTCACCAGCACGCTCACCACACACACGCTCACCACCACGCTCACCACAGACACACAGCTCACCAGCACGCTCACCAGCACGCTCACCACACACACGCTCACCAGCACGCTCACCACACACACGCTCACCACAGACACACAGCTCACCAGCACGCTCACCACCACGCTCACCACACACACGCAGCTCACCAGCACGCTCACCAACATGCTCACCACCACGCTCACCAACACGCTCACCACAGACACGCAGCTCACCAGCACGCTCACCAACACGCTCACCACAGACACGCTCACCACAGACACGCTCACCAACACGCTCACCAGCACGCTCACCACCACGCTCACCACCATGCTCACCAGCACGCTCACCAACATGCTCACCAGCACGCTCACCAGCACGCTCACCACAGACACGCTCACCAGCACGCTCACCACAGACACACAGCTCACCAGCACGCTCACCACCACGCTCACCACCACGCTCACCACAGACACGCTCACCAGCACGCTCACCACAGACACGCTCACCACAGACACGCTCACCAACACGCTCACCAGCATGCTCACCAGCACGCTCACCAACACGCTCACCAACACGCTCACCAACACGCTCACCAGCACGCTCACCACAGACACACAGCTCACCAGCACGCTCACCAGCACGCTCACCAACACACACGCTCACCACCACGCTCACCACAGACACACAGCTCACCAGCACGCTCACCAACACGCTCACCAGCACGCTCACCACAGACACACAGCTCACCAACACGCTCACCAGCACGCTCACCAATACGCTCACCACAGACACACAGCTCACCAGCACGCTCACCAACACGCTCACCACACACACGCTCACCACAGACACACAGCTCACCAGCACGCTCACCAACACGCTCACCAGCACGCTCACCACAGACACACAGCTCACCAACACGCTCACCAACACGCTCACCAACACGCTCACCACAGACACACAGCTCACCAGCACGCTCACCACAGACACGCTCACCAACACGCTCACCACAGACACGCTCACCAGCACGCTCACCACAGACACACAGCTCACCAGCACGCTCACCAGCACGCTCACCACAGAAACGCTCACCACAGGCACGCTCACCACCACACGCAGACACACAGCTCACCAGCACGCTCTGTGCTAGTACCACACCGCTGGTACCACCACTACCTCTAGAACCACACCGCTGGTACCACCACTACCTCTAGAACCACACCGCTGGTACCACCACTACCTCTAGAACCACACCGCTGGTACCACCACTACCTCTAGAACCACACCGCTGGTACCACCACTACCTCTAGAACCACACCACTGGTACCACCACTACCTCTAGAACCACACCACTGGTACCACCACTACCTCTAGAACCACACCGCTGGTACCACCACTACCTCTAGAACCACTACCACTGGTACCACCACTACCTCTAGAACCACACCGCTGGTACCACCACTACCTCTAGAACCACACCGCTGGTACCACCACTACCTCTAGAACCACACCGCTGGTACCACCACTACCTCTAGAACCACACCGCTGGTACCACCACTACCTCTAGAACCACACCGCTGGTACCACCACTACCACTAGCACCACACCGCTGGTACCACCACTACCTCTAGAACCACACCGCTGGTACCACCACTACCTCTAGAACCACACCGCTGGTACCACCACTACCTCTAGAACCACACCGCTGGTACCACCACTACCTCTAGAACCACACCACTGGTACCACCACTACCTCTAGAACCACTACCACTGGTACCACTACTACCTCTAGCACCACACCACTGGTACCACCACTACCTCTAGAACCACACTGCTGGTACCACCACTACCTCTAGAACCACACTGCTGGTACCACCACTACCTCTAGAACCACACCGCTGGTACCACCACTACCTCTAGAACCACACCGCTGGTACCACCACTACCTCTAGAACCACACCACTGGTACCACCACTACCTCTAGAACCACTACCACTGGTACCACTACTACCTCTAGCACCACACCACTGGTACCACCACTACCTCTAGAACCACACTGCTGGTACCACCACTACCTCTAGAACCACACTGCTGGTACCACCACTACCTCTAGAACCACACCGCTGGTACCACCACTACCTCTAGAACCACACCGCTGGTACCACCACCACTACCGCTGGTCCCAGGTACCTGCATGAAGAATCCCGACACCAGTGCCCGCCGAATGTTGCTGTAGTAGTCCCGGCTGGTGAACTCCGCTGGTACCACCACTACCTCTAGAACCACACCGCTGGTACCACCACCACTACCGCTGGTACCACCACCACTACCGCTGGTCCCAGGTACCTGCATGAAGAATCCCGACACCAGTGCCCGCCGAATGTTGCTGTAGTAGTCCCGGCTGGTGAACTCCGCTGGTACCACCACTACCTCTAGAACCACACCGCTGGTACCACCACCACCACTACCGCTGGTACCACCACCACTACCGCTGGTACCACCACTACCTGCATGAAGAATCCCGACACCAGTGCCCGCCGAATGTTGCTGTAGTAGTCCCGGCTGGTGAACTCCGCTGGTACCACCACTACCTCTAGAACCACACCGCTGGTACCACCACCACTACCGCTGGTACCACCACTACCTGCATGAAGAATCCCGACACCAGTGCCCGCCGAATGTTGCTGTAGTAGTCTCGGCTGGTGAACTCCGCTGGTACCACCACTACCTCTAGAACCACACCGCTATCACCACCACTACCTCTAGAACCACACCGCTGGTACCACCACTACCTCTAGAACCACACCGCTGGTCCCAGGTACCTGCATGAAGAATCCCGACACCAGTGCCCGCCGAATGTTGCTGTAGTAGTCTCGGCTGGTGAACTCCGTGGATCTCCGCGGGAGGGCAAAGCGATCCATGATGCGGCCCAGCTGCTGACGGACGTTGTCAGCTGACATGAGCGAGCGGTAGTTGACGAAATTGTCATAACACCACTGGTTAGAGTCGTGGTCTGGTGAGTGTGGTGAGTGTGGTGAGTGTGGTGGTGAGTGTGGTGAGTGTGGTGAGTGAGTGGGTGAGTGTGGTGAGTGTGGTGAGTGTGGTGAGTGTGGTGAGTGTGGTGGTGAGTGTGGTGGTGAGTGTGGTGAGTGTGGTGGTGAGTGTGGTGAGTGTGGTGAGTGTGGTGGTGAGTGTGGTGGGGGGGTGTGGTGAGTGAGTGGGTGAGTGTGGTGAGTGAGTGGGTGAGTGTGGTGTGGTGGGGGGGTGAGTGTGGTGAGTGTGGTGAGTGTGGTGAGTGAGTGGGTGGGTGAGTGAGTGGGTGAGTGAGTGGGTGCGTGGTTGGGCGAGATGTGGGTGAATGAGTGGGTGAGTGTGTGGGTGAGTGAGTGGGGGGGTGGGTGAGTGGGTGGGTGAGTGAGTGAGTGAGTGTGTGGGTGAGTGAGTGGGTGGGTGGGTGAGTGGGTGGGTGGGCGAGTGAGTGGGTGAGTGTGTGGGTGAGTGTGTGGGTGTGGTGGTGTGGTGAGTGAGTGAGTGGGTGGGTGAGTGGGTGGGTGTGGTGAGTGTGGTGAGTGGTGTGGTGGGGGGGTGAGTGTGTGGGTGAGTGAGTGTGTGAGTGAGTGGGTGAGTGGGTGAGTGAGTGCGTGAGTGTGGTGAGTGAGTGAATGAGTGGGTGCGTGGTTGGGCGAGTGTGTGGGTGGGTGAGAGTGTGGTGAGTGTGGTGAGTGGTGTGGTGGGTGTGGTGAGTGTGGTGAGTGTGGTGTGGTGAGTGTGGTGATGGGGGGGTGAGTGTGGTGTGGTGGGGGGGTGTGTGAGTGAGTGGGTGAGTGGGTGAGTGTGGAGAGTGTGGTGGGTGGTGGTGTGGTGAGTGAGTGAGTGGGTGGGTGAGTGGGTGGGTGTGGTGAGTGTGGTGAGTGGTGTGGTGGGGGGGTGGGTGGGTGGGTGAGTGGGTGAGTGGTGTGGTGAGTGGTGGTGGTGAGTGTGGTGAGTGTGGTGAGTGTGGTGAGTGAGTGGGTGAGTGGGTGGGTGAGTGAGTGAGTGTGGTGAGTGTGGTGAGTGAGTGGGTGAGTGAGTATGGTGAGTGGGTGGGTGAGTGGGTGAGTGGGTGGTTGGGCGAGTGTGTGGGTGAGTGAGTTGGTGGGTGAGTGGGTGGGTGAGTGGGTGAGTGTGGTGGTGAGTGTGGTGAGTGTGGTGGTGAGTGTGGTGAGTGGGTGAGTGGGTGGTTGAGTGGGTGGGTGAGTGAGTGAGTGGGTGGTTGAGTGGGTGGGTGAGTGAGTGTGTGGGTGAGTGGGTGGGTGTGGTGGTGTGGTGAGTGAGTGAGTGGGTGGGTGAGTGTGGTGGGTGGTGTGGTGGGGGGGTGAGTGGGTGGGTGAGTGGGTGAGTGGTGTGGTGGGTGGTGGTGGTGAGTGTGGTGAGTGAGTGTGGTGGGGGGGGGTGAGTGAGTGGTTAAGTGTGTGGGTGAGTGTGTGGTTGAGTGTGTGGTTGAGTGTGTGGGTGAGTGAGTGGGGTGGGTGAGTTGGTGAGTGTGGGGTGAGTGAGGGGTGAGTGAGGGGTGAGTGAGGGGTGAGTGTGGGGTGAGGGAGGGGTGAGGGATTGAGGCAGAGGGGTTGAGGGTGAGGGACAGAACAGAGATTCCGTGAGGTACA